GTGCTGGAGATGGAACCCAGGCTATTCACTACTGACCCACATCCCACAGCCACCATTTTGTTTCTTAGTTTCAGTACACGATCAATATATTACAGAGATAATCCACAGCTCCTTGTAATTCGTGGGAGATGATCAGTGGGAGATGACCTTGATCAGCTGCTGGCTGACATTCTCAGAGTGCTCCAAGAACACCTGAAGTAGGCGGGGCCAAGCTAGGCCCTTCTCTAGGTTCTGTGTGTCAAGCACACTATTTAACAGTACTGCACTTATGCTGGGTTTATCTGATGCAAGCTGAGGAGTGCCTCCTCCTGCCTTTCCCCCTTTGCTGCAGAGGAAGCACCTGGGCCCCTATTTGGAGCCGCCCGACTTCTGCATGCCATCTGCCCATCCTTCCTAACAACTTCACTCTCACAATTATTCTCATTATTTCCTCCACCATTAATTTATCTTCTTTTCTGACTGTTTTCCATTCATGTCTAAATGTGCTCTAGTTTGTTTCATTGATTTTTAAGTAAAACTTCTCAACACCACAATCCCCTAGATACTCTCCATTGTTATCCCTCCCTCCCTCCCTCCCTCCCTCCCTCCCTTCCTTCCATCCTTGGTTTTTCTTTCCTTTGTATTGGTCACAGAACCCAAGGCCTTCTTCACAAAAGGGTGCAACCCCAGCCCCTTTCATTTTCAGTCGTGGTCTCTTGAACTTGCTAGTTTGCCCAGGCTGAGCTAGCACTTCTGATCTTCCTGCCTCACCCTCCCAGAGCATTGGAGTCATGGGGCTGCGACTCCCAGCCTGCATGCTTTCCTTCTCACCTAAACGGCAGTGCGCTGCTGTCCTTCCTTCCTCACTGACCAGATCTGGAATCCGTCCTCTTCACCTGCAGGACACCCGCTCCCTTCTCCTCCGTCAGCTCTTCACTTTTCACTGGCTCCCATCCTGCTCTTGCCCTTGCATGCTCCCCATGTCCAGCTCTCGTCATCACTCCATACTTTCTTTCCACAGCGAATCTCCTCAGCGCCATGGCCTAGTGCCACCCACCCCGCAGATGCCAGCCTTATCTCAGTGAAGACTGAGAGTTGTGGGCTTAGTGCCCCTCACCTCCTGCTTGGCCCTCAGACCTGAACATCTCCCAGTGTTAAAGGTCAAGGCCTAGTCACCACTGTGCAGTGCCTTTTCCCTTCATGCTCTGCATCCACTCCACTAAAAAGTTTCCGCCTCTACCTTCTTGGTCTATCTCCAGTGCACCCGTATTTCTCCACTCCCTGTCCCGCACTGTAATCTAAGCCTCCATCCCTCCTACCCTGAACTCTCCAACAACTTCCTAACTGCACCAATCCCCTTGCGGTCCACTTTCCCTGCAGCAGCCAGTAGCGTGTGTGGAGACATGCACTTGCTCACTCTACTCTTGCTTAACGCCTTTAGGAGTTTCCTTCCCGGCTCCTTGCCACAGCCCACGGGATTGAGCACAACCCGCCTTGGGCCAGTTCCTCCAGTCTCCCGGAGCCAGCTTTCCCTGCTTCCCAGTGCTGAACCCGTGACACCTTTCTTCCTTTCAGTAACTGCACCAGCTCCACTCCCAGCTCCTCGTCTTGCGCTTGCTCTTCGCTTCCTCTGGAATACTTTGCTCCCGTGTCTTCACACGAATGACTGTCTTGTCATCCAGGGCTCAGCGCAAATGCCAGCTCAATTCAAATGATTATCCCTTCTGAAATAGCCTGAGCAGGCATAATTGCATTGCTCTATTTAATTTTCTTTATAGCATCCGTTGCTTGCTGAAACGCCCTAGTTTATTTACCAGCGTTCTGTTTGCCTCTCCGTCCTCCTCCCGTCGACTCCCCCACACTTATTCATACACACGTAAGGGCTGTGATAGCAGGGACCTTTCCTGTCTTGTTCACTCCTGAATAAGTGCATGGCACTTAGTAGAAGCTCAATAAATATTTGGCGAAAAATAAACGGAGGCAGAGGAGTCAATATTTCTGTTGTCAATCATGCCAGGGAGCAGCAGACACTGGGCAGGGACACAAACACTTCTAGAGAGGGCTAATGGGAGTGACGGAGAGGGACTTTCTGGGGAACTTCCGGCTGCTCATGACTGTGGGATGTGCTTGCTGGAGCCTGAGCCTCTTGCCCCAGCCTAGGGGCCTCGGTGTCTGGTGTCTGCGCTGCCTGGCTACTGGAAAGTGCTTGTCTCTGTCACTTCTTGAGGTCCAGGGATGCCACGAGTGTGGCCTGGGCTAGGAGCTCCAAGCTCTGATCTAGGTCAGCTGTGTGCTCCTTCCTGCCGTCACTCTCAGAGAGGATTCTGGAAGCTTTGGGACAAGCTGCAGCTTGGTCTCTGCTGCTCTGTGCAAGGAACTAAGTGGGGGTCTCTGCACCCTTAGGAGGAGCAGGGGGACAGGTGAGGGTGGTGGTGACAGCAGCTGCAGGTGCTGAAGGTACTGTCCTGGGATATGGAGGTACCTATTGCATGTGGGGCTGGGGGAGGTGGGGAGTAGAGGTGGCGGCTGGGACCCATAGGTGAGGTCCAGTGGAAGGAAGGGAGGTCCAGCTTCCTGGGAGGTAGGGCTCAAAGCATCACAATGTGCCGTTCATGCACACTTAGCACTTCTGTACCTGCAGACTAGTGACACCTAGGTATGTGCGGGACATTTGTACAGTGGGCTTCCTGGGCAGTCTGCAGACACTTGTGACTTGTTTAGTGAGGCCCCGTGTTGTGCAGCAGCAGCCACCTAGTGGGAATGATGAGATCTACGTGAGGTGATCCCTGGGGAGTTGCGTGGATTATTGATAATCCATGGGAGCCCTTGGAGCTTGTGCTGGGGCCTTAGGGCGCATCACACCCACGTGACCTAGTTTGTTCTGTGAGTAAATCCCTGGAGGAGCTATCAGGCTATCAGGGATAACTGCAGAGGCTGCAATGGGTGTCCCCCCTTACCTCCTCCCGCCCCCATAGCACACTGGAACTCCTCTGCCGACCTGACCTGCTGGGCAGGGTGCCCTCACCTCAATCACTCCGTTGGCCCTCACAGGCTCTGCCCACTGGAGCAGGAATGCCCGGCCGTTCTCTTTCTGGTCCACCATGAAGTTGCTTAGTCCACTCGGGGAAGATTCTAAGGTTTGAACCGGAGTCCAGGGACTTGCAACTTCTCCTGCATGGTTCTCAGCCACCACGCCCACCTGGTATGTTGTGAATGGCTCCAGCCCAAACAGGGGAGCTTGGCGGCTTGTTCCCTGTAAGACAGTGGACAGGTTGGGTTTAGAGGAGGCTGGAGGCCACTTTTTGAAGTACATGGCCAAAGGCACACTACGACCGCAGAGTCCTAAATTATCACCCAGAAGCCCCTGTGTTTGCTCTTGTTCTTGCTGGTACCTTGAATGTAGTGCCTCACATTGTATGATTGAGGACACCCAGGAAGTTGGTTGAGATGAACTTCTTGAGTTTTCAGAATGTGCAACCAAAGGATGTACACCGTGAACTTTTGAACACATTTCTGAAGCGTCAGAACAGGGCTGTAAGCAGCTCACAGGGAGCTCAGTGGCACCCACCCTCAGTGCATTGCAGAGGTGGCTAACTACCTCCTCTATTAATCTTACGTGTTTGGAGACTTAATTCAAACAATCCAAGTTCTCTAATCCACAGTACTGTTTATTTATACATAAGACTCTTGCATCTCCCTCCTTCACTCCCTTCCTGTGTATTTATATCTTACAAACCCCATAAAACATACAAGAAAACAGCAATCAACCCATTGAGCTATAAATGTACAAGCACCCCAAGAGAAGTCTATAATTAATGGAAAAGTGCAAATGTGCTCATTTGTGAAAAACACCATAACTAAAGCTAGGAAAAGTACCCAAAATAATTATTACTGGGGCTTTGAGGATCTGGACTTCATTGACCAAAAAGAAAAATAAAACAGGACAACAGATCTTTTTCTTACCTGCTTGGAGAAAAACATTTAACATATTTTGCATAATGAAACTAGAGCTAAGAATCTTAATGTTTACAAAGGCCCTGGGGTCCTCTTCCCACATCTGGACTGCATGGGTTTGTCTGGTTAAGGCAGGAATTATGTCTGTAAGTGGGGCAGTAATGTATGTATGGGTAAACACACACACATACACACACACAAATTACCATGTTCTGTTGTAGACCATATTTATTGCCAATTAGGAAGTTTTGACTCGGGTAGTAAGATACCTACATTTAGTAAGATGTGAGAGTGTTTTGGGTTTGTTAGATGTTTACATGTGATAATCTTCATTGCTCTTCTTTTTCCGTGGTTGAGAAAGGAGTGCTACATGGTAGGAAGAAGATCTGTTATGGTTTAAATCTAGATACCCCCCTCCCCCTGGCAAGCCTCCTGTGTGAATAGGTGGGGCTTGGGGCGTGACTCTCTCATGGGTATGTGATACTGGATCATGTGTGTGTGCTACTGGATTAGATCACTGATTGGTTTAGCATAGTTCTGGGTGTGGATCGTGGAAGATTTGCCCTGGGTGTGCATGGCACCAACCAATAGGCTTGCATCCGAGGTGGAATAAAGTAGGAAAGAAGAAGGAGGCTTACTTCTTCCTGCTTGCCATGCCACGGGCTGTTTCTCCTCCATTGTGCCCCTCCACCATGCTACCTGGCCTTGGAGTCAGCTGACTGTGGACTGAAGCCTCCACGAACTATGAGCTATAATAGACCTTTCCTCATTTAATTTGTTGGTGTTGGGTTTTTTTTGTCCCAGCAATGAGAAAATAACTAAGACAGGATTTTATTTCTGAGAATTGGTACCCAAGAGCATCAGATACATTTGCATGTAAGGAAATTCTCTTTAATTTCTGGCTATAAAATTTTTGAATAAATCTAAAGCAAGATAACACAATTAAACACCATAACTTTTAAAACAAATTTGTTAGATGAGCTGAAAATAATGTAGAAATATTTTTTACACTATTTCATCACATTCTTGTTTATAGAATTTCAACTCTGTTCATGTTTTTCATTATGTGTTGGACATAGGCAGAGAAAACACAATTTCTCTTACCTATCAGAAACCTATAAGGTCAATTTTCCTATTTCAGTAAGTCCCATTATGATATTACAAGCTAACCTCTGGAAATCTTTTAATATTTAAACATTTGCTAAGCGAACAGACTCTGAAACAAATTTTACAGAAATACTAATTTCTCTTTTTTAAAATATTAAAAGTTAGATCATAAATATTTAAAAACTTATTTCTCCACAACATTGGATTGGTCTTTTAGATAAATATAACACAGAACTGGAATGACCATAATGAATACTAAATCTCAGGATGCTACAAGTGCTGATTACAAACATTCTTTTCCAATAAATGATTCCTTTTCTTTGGAAATAGGGCAAACACGGGCGAGATTAATAATGCAAAAAAGAATAATTCTTTGTTCAAGAATCTTCAGTAATAGATGCCAAAACAGCATACGCTCCAAAGCAAATTGTAATCACCTCGAACAGATTATATATAAAAAAGGGAGGGTGTTGGGGGACACTTAGAGATCGCTTTTGTCATAAGAAACATGAAAAGCATGTGGGCTATAAAGCAAAAACATATGTGGATTGTCAATAGCAGCACCTGCTCAATTACAGTTTATTTCAGGGCTGAGAATTCCATTCAGCCCCTAGGTGGCAATGCTATCAAACACTTTCGGTAGCACGGGTACTTAATGATTAATAACCACCATTCAGTCATCCAACACACTCCAGGCAACCATTAAAAAAATAACAGAACTGATTTCATTGTAAATTCTTTTCATAAACATTTATGGCTCAGATCCTTGAAAGTAGAAGGATTCACAATGGTCTGGCCTCAAAATTCCCGCCATTTAACGTGGAAACATGACTTGCTTGTCTGAGTCCAGCTTTACTCAGGCCTGGCCTAGAAATTCTTGCAGAAATGATCCGACAAAGGGTGGTTGCAACAGTTATTTTGCTTCATCTGGTCTTATTTATCTTTAAAATCATGAATTAAACACATGTTGTGGTGAGGAGGAAAACTTCCTGTATAACAAAATTTAAAGTTCTTATATTGACTTACTTCTGAAGAGCTATCTCCTTCCACCACCGGGAAAAAAAAAAGAATATCACACATCCTCTAAAAAGATATCAACAACAGGCATGCTTTTTGTCAATGACTAGCAAGGGCCAAATGAAAAAGTAAAGAAAATTTAAAAATAGCAAAATAGTCCTTATAAATTTATCTATCTACATGTCAGGAAGCGATTTACGCAATTCTCCTCTGAATGGATTTCTAACACCAATGATCGCTGCTTTAAGAACCTGTGGCAAGATCTGCCTGCAGTTTCCCGAATGACCTGGATTGTGTCTCGTTCATTGACTGAATTACTTGTGATTTTCTTTAAATTTAGACTCTTTGCTTGAGCACAGTGGGTTAAATGCTGGGTGTGTGGCTTCTCTGTTGGGAGCTGGAGCATTCTGTCCCACTGACTAGCGAAGGTCACCATGAAGCAAATGTCCCTCCTCTTGCTCCTCTGCGCTGCCCATCCTTTTCCCTCGTGTGCCCTGTTCCTTCCTCCACTGTCCTCCCCTTTCTTGTTTGAAGAGGGTCTGCATTTTCATGCGTCTTCCTCTCCATCGTCACAGTTTTGTTCTTTCCTGCATAATTTTGTTCTTTCCTTTCCTATGCTCCTCCCAGCTGTTGATTCTTTTGAGCTACATCTCCTGTTCCTTTTGACCCTGAGATACCAAGTTGCATTGCTCTCGGTTGTCGACATCCATCCTACCCCTTGTCCATAGCCTTCCTGTTGAGATAGAATATATTGTTTTAATCTAGATGTCTCTTAGCTACTTTGGTTAGGCAGCAGATGAAGGGAACAACATAATAAAGGAAGAACAGGAAAAATGGTATTAGATACAATTCTTTCTCTAAAATCTAATATTTCCAATGAAATTTAGCCTCTTTCAAGTTTAAAGTTTATATGCATAGAAGTCAGGGTCAACATACAAATCGGTACATCACTTGATAAGGCATGAAGACAAGATGCTCTGTAATGCTCTGCCAGTTGAGGTTCTGCTGGCAACCTGAACTACATTTTAACCTCTCAACTCTGTTCTCAGGGACATGTGAAGCTACTTGGAGTCTTCAGCAGTCTGACAATTTTACACCATCTCCTCTGATTATTTTTGAGGACTTGAAGTGCCCCGCAGGTGGCCTTGGGGTCAATAGGTTTATGTAGGTTGAAAATGATCAAAAATTACCATTGATCTCTAGCTGTCAATAAAAGGCTGCATGGGGATACTCCCTGCACAAATGTTTAAACTGCATAAAGCTACCTAACTTAGTCATCTTTGAGGCTATTGATCTGATGATCCAGCAGTTTCCAGCGCTTTCCCTGTGGTCTTTGTGGTGCATTTTCACTAAACCCACTTACCTTAGCCCTGAGGAATCTTTCACCCTTCTGCCAACAAGGAGCCTGCACTGTGATGCGTGAGCCTTGCGGTGCTCGTGAGCCGGGCATCACGTGTGCTCACCGTACTCCAGGGGGGGTTCATCTCCCTGCTCCCCATCCGCTTCACTGCAAGCCAGAGGCGCTCCTTCTGCCTTTGCCTGTCATTGACTGTTCTCTCTCATCCTAAAATTGATGAGTTGTGGCTTGTAAATCCCGACCAGCTGGTAGGCTTCCAAGGCCTCCTTAGTTATCATAAATACCCAATCTTAGAGCAAGAGTAAGTACATAAAAACTTTGCCTTTTTCCACAGTAGATAGCTTCAAAACAGTCTAGATTTAAATGTATCTACCACCCAGGCACTTCAAGTCATATTCTACTTTCCTAACAGGACAAAAGAAAGGAAGAATATAGTCAAGTGCCAGAGGTTCTGGTTTAGACAACAACAACAACAACAACAACAACAACAACAAGTGAGAAGCTCTTGTTTACTGCTACCTGAAAGCCTTGGGATGCAGGTGGAGTGCATAGTCACCTGGGTGACTTTCATGCATGCAATGATGACAAGCCAACACTAAGTGTTTTTTTCTGGATTTCTGAAAGCCCGATAATTTGAGGCATGAGTTCTCCAAGGCTATTTTTTTCTTTTCCATTTATAAAGTTAGGGTTTAAATTCTTTAAAGGCCAATTCACATATTTATATCTAGTATTTCCTTTTTCAAAATTCAAACCAGGATGGATCTCTGGCTCGCCACTACAAGGTCAGAAATGATATTTCTTTACTGTCGGCTGGCCAG